GCGATTACCATGCGCACGAGGCTCATGTAGATAAAGAACCGGCTTGGCGTAGGTGAGAAGTCGGGTGTAGTTTACTACGTTCCGTGAAGGAAATATCCTTGCCATTATACAGGCCAAACAGGATGACGCCTTGGCTCGCCAATACTCGAACACAAACGGGTCGTTCTGAGAGGCGACCCACTGTCTAAAGTCGCTGCTCACACGCCGGAGGAAGGCCATGAGTTCGACTTTTCGGGCACGCGGATATTGACGTGGGGCGGCAACAAGACGGGGCGAGAACTGTTGGGGACGTGGGTGTATGGCACCAGCTCAGTCAACAGCCACATTGATTTACACTCGTGTTATCACTCCCTACGCCCACGCAGTCAGGTGGCACGCCCGACCTCCACGCCAAAGACGCACGCCGTCCCCACGCCATAAGTACACTACACTGTGAGCCAGGCGGCGAGAACCCGACATAGTCACGGACACTATCCCTTTCCCCTTTCTCCCCCTGGCGTTCGACAGTTCGAGCTTCGAGTGTGACGACGTCCACCGAGTGTTCCACAACAAGGCGGATCAGGGAAGGGGACTTGCGCGTGAATTAGTTTGAACGGGTAGTAGACTTGTGCGGCATCCACCTCACTCCCTTACCCACTCCCCACCTGGACCCGGTGTCAAGACAGAGTCAAGAGGGCCGGGGCGGGGGAGGGCGCAGGTGGCTGGCACGGTCGGACCCCCATCTAGGCGTGCCACCACACCCCTGGCCCCTAGCATACACTTGACCACGATTTCTCACCAATAACAACAACACCCCAACAGGGGTCAGGAGGGCGAGGATGACTGGGCAGCCATGCCCACCACCTGTATACCCAGCGAGAGCGGAGGCGCATCTACCGGCAGGGAACCAGGTGTCAGGGCACTGCCAGCGCCATCAGGCTGCGAGGGCCATGGTTTGCTAATACTGGCATAGCACACGCCTTCAGACCTTTTGACCTAGAAGGGTGACACGTGGCCCTGCATGTCAGAGATTGTTTGAGAAGGAGCCGTGAAAGCCTGGCTCTCAGCCCACACAACACACTCAACTGGGCAAACTGCGTGGACTGAGTTGGGGCGTCAGTCGGCTGCCTTCCGAACTACGGCGCTCGACGCACCGTCTTCGTCTCAGATTCTGATCACACATGCAGCAGGGAAGCCGCATGGAGAAGGAACCGAGACGCACATTTCCCACTTGCGTGGGAGGTGGCGATTGGGTGCTTGCGATGGGTAATGTTGATGTGAGGTGAGATGCTGGTAAGGGAGGATGTGATGGTGTGATGCATCCAGCGGTTGCCTACCGCAGGTTTTCGTGGATGCGTATGTGGAAAGTGGAGGCGGATGAGGCGAGTGTAGGTTGGTGCTCCAGGCACTGGTTCGCCAGTCGCTTTGCGATGAATTCCTAAGTGACCCACCAGGTCGAAGTGTGAGGTGAATGTACTGGGACGGTGTGGACATGAGGAGACGGCGGTTTCAGTATCCGGCTCGGTGATGGTTATAGTGGAGCTGGTGGTGTTGGGCACGCTGGGCGACGGGGTGTGGGCTGAGCTGAGCATGGTGGGTGTGCAAGATGTGCTGAGCGTGATGGAGCCGGTGGCGGTGGGCGCGCTGGGTGGTGGAGTGTGGGCGGGGTTAGGTATGGTGGGCGTGCTGGATGTGTTAGGTGTGTCGGGGCTGCGGTCACTTCCGCTCTCGTGGATACGCATGTGACCCAATAGGCCCGGGCAATGCATGAATGTGCGTGGGCAGCAGGTGTATGTCGGGTGTTACAGTTGGTTCGGAGGTGTCCAAATAGTCCAATTGGCGCTCGTAATGTCCGTTGGCATCGTTGACTAGTAGGGAAAATGAGTGATGGCAGCGCGGTGGGAGTAGAGATTTGCGTGTCTCGCGTTTGGCTTTGGTAGGGGTGACGCAGTTGGCTTCGTAGACCGCTGCACCTGTCTTCACTGTTCTCATCCATGTAGGTCGGACCCCGACAAGGTCTTCCCAGTTGGACGGGTTCATCTGCAGACGCTTCAGGGAAGTCTTAACTGTGCCCTTGTATCGACGGACTTGACCTTCTTCTCGGCGGGAACCCTTGGCAACATTTCCATAGAAAAGTCGTTTACGTAGCCGCTCCTCGTCCATCCGCACGTTATGTCCACTCCAACGCAGTTACAGCTTTCTAAGCATGCCATAGATGCTGAGGATTCCCCTCCGCTCCACTACATCCATGTATAGGATCCGGTAATGCCATCTAGCCGTCAGTATTCGACGAAGACAATTGACGTGGAAGTGGTTGGGTCTACTTGCCTGCTTCATGTACACCGTCCAAGTATCTGTTCCATACAGCATCGTCGATTTTGGTGTTTACAGATACGTGAAGTTGTCCACCACTTGAAGTTGGGTTCCGTCCACGCTGATTTGCGGCGCAGTGTGTGCAGTTTTGGGTGGCCGTTGGTGCATGACAATCGTATTCTCCGTGTTGATGTTCAGGCCGAAGTTCTCGCAGGCGGCGGAGAAGAGATCCATGCTCCTTTACATTTCTCCTTCAGTAGTTGCATTGAGTGTACAGTCATTGGCGAACAGAAGTTCGTGGACGGTGGTTGAAGATACACGCCACTGCGAGTGCATCCGCCGCTGATTGGGTAAATGGCCGTCCGTCCTGTGGGTTATGCGAATCCCAGGACGTTCGTCACCGTAGGCGTCCAGCAGCATGGCAAAGAACATGAGACTGAAGAGGGTAGGTGCGAGGACGCAGCCCTCCTTCACTCTGTTGGTCACTGCGAATGCCTCTGAGACCGCTTCATTGTCTGTGACGCGCACCAGAACTCCATCGTGGAGCTGACGCACCATCTGAGCCAAATTTATGCATGATTTTCTACAGTCCGTCACGATTCACCGTGTCGAAGGAATTCGTCAGGTCACGAAGACAGAGTACAAGTGGATCCGCATATTCTGACATTTCTACAGTTGGCAGGTGACAAACATCATATCGGCGGTCCCACGATGACGGCGGAAGCCGCATTGGCTTTCCGAAAGGAGACGTTGTTCTAGATGGCTGTTCAGTCGGTTAAGAAGAATGCGAACGAATATCCTCCCAGCAATGTTCAACGCAGAGATGCCTAGGTGGTTGTCGTAGATTTGGCGGTTCCCTTTCCGATTGTGGCGTCCTTGAAATCCTACAGGACGGTAGACAGCTCTGATTGCACAGAAGAAATTCTTCCATTCGTTGCGGTCCTGGTACCCTTGAATCTCCTCGTCCTCCTGCATCTCCTGCTATCGCTGTTGCATAAGGCGCGACTACGGTAGAAGCCTGCTTTATTTTCGTCGGTGGGGTAGTTAAGGTAGGCTTTGTGCAGGCGGTTCCTGTCGGCGGGCAGGTTGCTGATGGCTGCGTCGTTGTCATCGAACCAGTCCTGATGTTGGCGACGTGCGCGACTGAGGACAGCTAGGACCGCCGGCTGGACTGTGTCCAGCAGTCAGCACCATCGGTTCTCCACGAAGGCATTCAAGTCAGCAGCAGCGGCGGCGGCGGCGGCGTCGACTGGAAGGCTGGCTAATCGCTGAGTCAGCTCATTGTTGAAGTGGAGATTGTTAGTAGGTAAAGACAATAGAGCAATAATCAGCTTACCTGGGGATCGCCTACCTCGAGGTCTCCTGCGATGTTGTAGACGAATCTGCATCTGGGAGATGACGAGGCGATGGTCAGTTCACTCGTCAACACCCAGAATCGCCTTTGTCACCAGCACGTCCCGCTGGTCTCGCTTCCCGACGGGGACAAAGTCCAGCAGGTGCCAGTGTCGCGACCGAGCGTGCATCCAGGCGTCTGCTGGAGTCCACTATTGGTCACGGCCTTGTTCAGTAGGAGAATGACCCGAATTAGCCTGGGACTTGCCTACGAATTCGCCGTAAGCTTAAAGGGCGGCGGAGGTGGTGAAGGGTGGAGAGCCGGGAAGCAGAGTTTCCCCTCTCTCTCCAAACCAAATTGGTTGCTGAAGCACATAAGCGGTGAGCAGATAAATTCGACAGAATGACATTTAGCTTACAATAAGGACGGACACGAACAAGCAGACAAAAAGCAAGTATGCATGAATGGCAAACAGCAAAAGCAACACAGAAAATTAAACAGAACAGTGTTTAGCAGACAGAAAGCAAACAGAAAAGAACAAGCAAAAGCAAAGGCAGCAGAGCAACGTTCGTTTACTTGGGGGCTCACTAAACTTGTGGCCTCCTACGTCCTTCCAGATTTTGCCTCATGACGGAGAGGCCAGTGCCGGCCAGCGGAGGCGAGATTGCCGTGTGCGGAGTTGTACACACGGATACTCTCACCTGGTTTAGCCCGCCGGTCGAGGCGGTTGCAGAGATGTGGCAGCTGGCCAGAGCTAAGCTTCGGGGAGCCACGTGTAAGAGTTGAGTCCCAGAAAATGGACTCTGGACGTAGTCTACACCTGCAAGCAAGTGAGCGACCAACTACGACCGTCACGTGAACCCCCCGTTGGACACCGCTACTCCCCGGCGTACACACACACGCACGCACACACGAAAGTTCATCCATCGTGCCCGACGATGTCCAACGTGTGTTCCACAGCGAGGTGAGCACAGGCACGGTGACCTGCGCGTGATTTAGTTTGTGGCGAATGTGTACTTGCACTGGATCCGCCGCACTCTCTCCTCTCTCACCTAGGCCCGGGGACAAGACAGAGTCAAGAAGAACGGAAGTGAGAGGGCGCAGGTGGATGGCGCGGCCGAGTCAACACCTTGGTACCCCACGCCACACCCTCTGGCCCACAGAAAAATTAAGCAGGATTTTGAACAACAACGGTATCACAATGTGTCAGAAGTAGGACGATGACAGGGCAGCCATGCTCATGATCTGTATACCCAGCGGAACCCAAGCGCATTTACCGGAGGGGAACCAGAGGCCATAGGACCGCCAGCGTACATGACCGCGGGGGACATGGTTTTCCGAGTCATGACATAGCAGACGCAAACAGCCCTGCATATAGCCTGAGCCATCACCCTTCAAAGGTCGGACGCTCATAACTCGTCTTCTTGTAATTCCCCAGGACAGAGACACATCTCATGGATCTGGCTGACCGCACGCACAACAGTGACAGTGCAGTTGACGGCCACAAATAGTGTCGCCATACCGTCCGCTCAATACCCACTGTCCCATCCCCTGCCTACAGCCAAAGCACACATGCACTACATATCGGCCTGGTAGGATCCCTGCAAATCCGTCGAAGGGAAACTGGTCAGGAACCACAATATACGCCCTTCGCACCCGCTTCACCTTGCCACACTGCCCAAGGACATCGGGTCGTCTCATGCGCATATTTGGCATTATGCACCCCCATGCAATTCTTCAATAAGACCGCGCCCTAGACCCCGTCATCACATCAGCCCATATAAATCACTGACCACCTTTAAATCATTCACACCAAGCCCACTAACCTGCAAAAATAATACATCTTTATGACAGCGAGCAGATTACCCGATTCGTTTTGGACGGCGCAAAGTAACATGTCAGAACATGCATATCATACACAAGTGGGAGGCACGCTCCTTGATACATCCTGGCAAATAAAGTGATCGGACCGCGTGTGGCACGCGAAGAAGCTTCAGTGCGCAGTCACTGTGTGGAATTTAGTTACCAGCTGGTTGACAGACCCGAGTAGTCACCTGATGTATGTGAGAGGGAAGACAGAATCCGGTCGACACTGGGGAATCCATCCCCATGGCAACTCAGCGCACTCCTCCCGATGATAAAGTTGGCGCGTTTTGAAATTCCTACAAGGCACTACAGGTTGTGGCTTTGGAGGCTGTAGGATGAACAGACAGCTCGATCCTCGTGGTCGGCACTGTGCGTGCGTCTGGTGAATGGCTCAAGGACTGAGTCAGACTCAATGGTGGTCTCAACGCCGTCTCTATGGTGCCACCACTTTGATGGGACCCGAGCAGCTACTCTTTTTTGTTAAAATTCGCACATTGCGCAGGAACTAGATCGTGCATGACAAACACGTGTGGATTGTTTAGCCTTGTCAGACGCTGCATTTGAGTCCACCTCCGGTCGTATTGACTTTGTCTTCCCCTTGGGGACCTGGCGGGTGAGGGAGGAAAGAGTGCGGCATATGCCACACAAGTCTGTCTCGCTTTAAACTAGTTCATGCGCAGGTCATCACTGCTGCGCAGAATGTGGTGGACACCGCTGCCTGTGACGGTCGAACTTTAGTAGAT